AATGTGGGTCCTAGTGAGAGCACTTCAAGTAACTTTTTATCCAATACAACCGATGAAAAACACAAGGCGTTGTTCTCGTCCCCACCCCCAATGAAAAATGACCAATTCACACATTTTTACCTTAAGGTCAAACCAATTTCACTCGTTCCAACTACCAGTTGAACGATCACTAACACACACACGCGCATGCTCGAATCACATCAGATATCTACACGATGTCGTCATCCCATCGCCTTACAATTGCTTGTAACGTGAGATTAACCGATTAACCGACTTCAGAAAAGCCTTCCAAGAAAGTCGAAACGTTGTCATTAACATCGTTTTTTTCGTTCGCCATGGCTAAGACAAGCTAATTACCTCAATAATCATGGGAACGATGCCCAAGTTTTTCAGTGTGATTCGTTTCATCCACGGATCTCGTGTGAGAAATCGCCTATTGGTACAAAACCCTTCAAGTGCTGGATTTGTGTTACAAAGGATATGGGCTATGCTGCGCTAGAATACAAATAAATAGCATGTATCGGTGGGGCGGGGGGTTCATGTTTTCCGAGTGTCGAAAACAGACCCACTTATTTGGAACTCCTTCGTCTATTGATTGATTTGGAAATATGTAGGATCAATCAGAACAATCATTGATCTAGCAAGCAGAACAAGTGGGATGGGCCGAACACTATTTCTGTTCGAAAATTTGAGTAAATTGCGGTTGGCCAAAACGAAAGTTTACCATGTTGATCGAATTGTGCTCGTAATTCTCTTTTACGAGAGTACAGAAGAAATGTCAGGAAATCGGGATTTCAACGGATCTTGATCTAATCGGACTGATTGGACTGTGGTTTGATCGGTGTGCAAGTCATCAAAACAGAAAGAAGACAAATGTCGCAAAATGTTAACATTTCGTTTAATCTTCTCAGTCACTGACTTAAAAGTGTGCAAGTGCCAAATCGTGTAGGAAAAATTAGGACAAATCAACAGAAACCCCAACTGTGTGACGGAGGAGAAATGCATGCACACACGCACACCGCTCTTACAGGGGAGGAGATTCCGAACTACGAGGTGAATGGTACCGCAGCCGTAACTCATACCATAACCCAACGAGGAACAGGGGTGAAACGCTCAAACGTGGACATCGAACATACTGAAAGTGGGGATTACGTGCAAACAGAGAGGTACGGGGAAATATGTTTCAGCTGCGCATTTTAATCGTGCTGAATGACCATCCCCGTCCGAAAAGGCAGAATTTGTCACATAGATAAACGACTTCAAAAGCCGACATACGCAAATTTGCGAATAAAAGCCCCGATGGAATCCGGGTAAACACGGATGACAATGGCTGTCACCAATCCGAATCAAATTGGGGCGGTTCGGGGGTAGATTGAGTGAACCGAAAATCTGTCGATAATACATAGGCAGAATGTGGAATAATCGATCAGATGCAAATGGTATTCACTTTCACGCAACCCCATACGAAAAAGGCAGGAGGGAAATGAACGAGGAGAACGACAGTGGTGGGTGTGCTGATGGTGATCAATCACGACATAGATTTCAGTCAGATGACCTGGAAACAAAACACAATCGCACAGCTGTCAAATCTGCGAATCATTTTTCGGACAAAGCAATGAGGTGGAGGTGACAAATCCACATTTTGAGGGTATCTGATGATGCTCGCTATTGTTCGAAATAATTAAACCAAGGTAGCAATTACGGCAATCTTTTCCTGTTTACCCTGGTCATGTTTGTGGACAGATAGAATAAGATAAATAGGCATCTACTTCTGTGGTATCATTGCATGCTTTTACTGTCGTTGCGTATTTATTTCTTTGGAACATGTGCGAAAAATTCACAATTTGTATATCCATCCTACTGGTATTACTGGATGTGGACTATCGAAAAATAGTCGATAAAAAAACGATATGCCAAGACTCCAAAACAAATCAATGACTGCTGTCAAATAAGTTCCCTTACCTAGGATAAGAACCATGCACGGAACAGGCAGAGGAGTTGATACCGGTGGGATTAAATTGAGATGCATAGTGCACAGACAGGAGATAATTTTAAGAGGACTGAAAAGCGCCTATAATAATTCGATACGTGAAATTTTGTCAAGGAGTGAGTCAAGCAATTTCACAATCCATAATCAAAGCCGATTGATGAATGACGAGTTCCAGGGAGTAAAAGTACGACAAGGAAGCGATGAAGTGATAGAAAATTTTTCAGAGCACAAAATTTGGCTGAGCTCTCCGATTAGCAAGAATATGTAATTCAGAATGCCCACAATATATCCATCTATCTTTATATGTATATATATGCGCAGAGTGATTCCAGAAAAACTAACAAAATTTATAATGGATAAAGGATTTTTCAGTTAATCCACTCAGAGAAAGAGTGAATCATGAACACATAAAAATAAGTTCAGGAATAGTGATAGACAAAAACGAGCATTGTCGTGAAACGCGTTAGCCTAAGAGATAAGCTTGCCCGGCTTTGATGCCATTGCCATGACCGCCGACTGGGTTCAAATAAAAAGGGCGATAAGTCTAATGATAGCTAACAGGAATAGACAGAATTCCATTTCTTATAATTCTGCATAGGCAGAGTAATCACTGAAAACTCTGACAAGTGATTCGTTAGTTACAAAGTGTGGTAAACCAATAGTAAGTTTACTATTGTACATATTTACGGAAATATCGATTTTTCGATGCTAATTATGAGACCGAGCAGGACAGAGAGGGGAAAAAATAAGGTGACGTGCACATCTCTAGTGCAGACGTAAAGTGGGCAGATTGACGCATGGACAGACAGATTGACAGCAATGGCAGGACTGCAGTATCGAAACAAACATTAGCATACATAAATATACAGATCGCTACAACGAGAGATCTGTACAGAATACGGTAGGGAGTCAGTGAAGTGGGATCGATCGCTAACAAATCATCGCACAGAATCATTTTTGTGAGGAGACAAACGATGATCACAGTCAGGTTAAGCTTTATCCGAGCTTGCGTTACATAACTGGACTTTTCTGGTAATCGATGAGTGGCCATTGGACAATCCATTATCATTTTGGATTTTGTGTGACATAATAGCTAGGGATGGAAACAAGTGGCCAGTAACACAATGTTTCTTTGATAATTTCTAACTGAATGAACGTAATTTACAGTGTGTATAACCGCAAATAATTCTAGGGGAAACGGGGTGGGGGCGAAAGTATATGCAAGAAAAACGGTATACATACCATTTCGATCCGCCAACGATCCGGCCATGATGCGTTGAATGGTGAGAACCGGAGGGCTTCGATTGATCACTTCAGTCTTTGTAGAATTGTTTGGTTGTGCCGGAGGTGATGGTGTACGCACGGCAATTGTTATTCCAATTGGTTCTCCAGGATGATCACGTCGCAGTTTGATGACACGGACTTCGCCCGGTTTAGGAAGTCGTACTTCGCGTGCATCCTTCGACGAACGCGTGCTCTGACGAGAGGGGCGTCTTGCCAGACTTTGTGTTTCAGGAACAGGAGGTCCTGTTTCACCCGACCTGGAGTGTTTCGAATGGCGTTGGTTTCGATCTGGGAGACTAGCAGATGGATAGTTGGTGGAGGATTTCCTATTTCCGTCTCGTCGAGACAGATCTGCGGAATTCGAATTGACTCCCGGAGAGTAAGGGTTTTCTCTGGGTGTACTGTCCGCGGGCTTTATCACCGCGATTGGGGGCTTCCCGGTTTGAGAATCCTGTCGAGTGAGAGATTTCGGCGATTGAACTGGATGATTTGAATCTCGAGTATGACTGGAGTCACGGGCACGACGCGATACCGATGGTGATGAGAGATGCGGATTGTCGTTTTTAGGAACAGCAGTCAGTGAAGTGTCACTATCAGACTGAGAATGACGATTGTTGCGCTAGATAAGCGTCAATACAGAATGGGGGAAATTAACACCATATAGATGAGGCGGAGTAACTGAACGGGATTCATTCATCGGTGACCCAGGGAAAACTGGTGACAAGCGAGATAGTATAGAATGATATTTTTGCACCTCGATCTTTAACTCTCTAGTCCTGGTTCAGTTGAATTATTATCTAAAAAAACATTGCATCCCAGCCATTTATTATCGTTGACCTAAGCTCAAAAACTGAGAATAACTGAGGGGAAAGATTTTCCGGATAAAAGGATGTGGTTAAATGCGCAAAACTGAAATACTGCAGACAAAAACGGGGTGGGTGGGTATCTAGATTTGGAAAAGAAACTCTGCATCGTGGTTAAAACTGTCCGTACCCGTCGAGTTCCCTTTGTCTAACCCAATTCAGAGTCCTTCATCTGGTCATTCGATCAATTGCTTTAATTACAAAAAGCCAGTCACATCGACCTTTTTCACGACTTATGCGGTTTTTAAACAGGAGTCAGGTGACCAGCCTGAAACCCAGAACACCCTGGTAGTGCCATCGCTGCTTGTTCACGACTGTTTATTTGTTGCAGTATGCCACAACTTATTCACAGCTAACCTTCTTCAGTGAAGGTATCCCTCTATCCACAACCCGGGGACGCAATCAGCTCTGCTTAATCCGAGGGTATGCAGAGGTCCAACAGCAGCAATGGTATTTTATCCGAAATTAATACTCCAAGAGAAAATGAATTGTCAAGTAATGATAGTAAGTTTACTTCATCAATGAGGTTTCCCCCTCCCGGTCATAGTGAGATTTAAAGTGGATTCAATTAAATAAGTTGGAAGCATTTTTACATTTGAAGGTGAAAAATATATTAAAAAACATAACTGCGTCAACACTATTCAGAAAAGACCAGGGTTGACCCAGAACTACGCTTATCAGCATAAAGTTGTTTGCATATTCATTGTGCCGAAAAACTTCAAGTTAAAATGCTCAGTGAGAGATTCGACGTTTGATATTAATCGGAAAAGTTGTTTGAATATTCTTGAAGGAACAGCTTACTGTAGGCGGATCCATGGTACCTATAAATGCACAAAGATAAATAGATAGAAATGATATCTTATAAGCAATTGAAAGAAAGTAAAACGGGGCACCCAGATAAACTTTGAGAACTCGAGTGAAAAGAAAACCCGTAAGCTTCGGCAAGTTTTTGTGTGAAACGAAATAGAAAGACATATCCTTCAGGGAGATACAACGCCGCATTAAGACGAGACCGGCAATTTCCAAGAGGCTTTCAAGAAAAAAAAACAATTGGTCTATAGAATAAATGCCTGTGTTCCAGGACTGACCTCCAAGTAATTACACCTTTGTAAATATACTACGATTGAAACAGTCCGTTTCACTCGCGCTTTCTGAAGCGATAGATGTGCAAACATAATATTCACAGATGAATTATGCTACTTGACTAATTTCTATGGTACACAAGTTTTAAGCGGCCTGACTGACCTTTCCGGATCGTGAGAGAGAAGTAGTCTTTTCTCGAAATCCTTCCTGTTGCTGTTTGGAAGACCGTTTCGTGGAGCTGTGTGACTTGAGAGATTCAGGTCGATTGACCTCGTGTGACGATCCAAAGTCGGAAGTGCGCCGAACCCGACCAACAGTGGAGTCTGGTCTAACATGTTGCGACGACTTTGTTGACGATAAGCCGGTTATGGGTGAAACTTGTGCATCTGAATCATCCTGATCAGACAGATCCACTGCGCCACTGTGTGGTGATCGATTGTTCTGAGTGGTATTCCCAGATCGCAAGTCCGAAACGACGGTGATCTCGCCCAGACTGTCATCATGCACCTCATGCTGGCTATTCCGCAGAGATTCCTGATGTTTTGAGGAACGTGTTGGTGTACCACCGCGTTTTTGAGATCCAGTGGACACAGGAGAGTGAGAGGCTGATCGACGTCCGTATGGGCCGGATTCGGTATAAACGGGAACTAAGTCAAAATCTTCGGTGTAGTAACGAGAGTTGGCCACATCGTCATATGCCACAAGAACTTCCTGGAAGTGTGAAAAGCGAAGCAATTATGCGTTATTGATGAGTGAAAACCGTCTGCTTCATAAACGCGAAACACAAACACACTACGTCAGATCCTTATTTCAAACTGTATTTGGTTTCCAGTAGTAATGATGGGTCAAATGTTACCAGGGACTGAGGAACTGCCAAATAATCAAGTCCAACAAAATCAACTTTTTCGCTTATTCAGATGAATGAACAGCAATGTACGCGGGATTGATGATGACCATCGATTTTGCGTGCTTCAATTAGTTATCGATGGACGTTAAATAGCTGGAATGCTACATGAAGAATACCACATGAGTACATTTACAAGTCCACAGTCAATCTAGTAAAAATGTCTCGATATCTGGTTAATTACCAGTCATTTGGAACTGAAAGAATGAGGAGGTTGTTCCTCCGCAGATAACCGGGTGGTGGGTATGTCAGAAGGACGGAACGCACATTGATCACAAGAATGAGTAAGCATGTTTCTGAAAGCCAGGCTTTCCGGGTGGGAGAACATTCCACAAATGCGGTGGCACATCATTTTAGAAACAAGACAATTCTGGGGCGTAACGAGGTATCGTCAGACCTCTAAACCCAAGGACGCCTAGGTGGTTGCATAGACTCTTTGAATATTGATCATTACGTGCAGAATGCGTTTGTGATGCAACTGTTTGATAATACTACTCGCTTCGTGGCATTCTTTTATTCATTCTTCCATCCATCCCAGCTTATCACTCGTTTTATTCGCACGTACGCAAGCCATCCAAACACACAGCCTATGGTTGTGAAAACTGAAACGAACGTTTTTATGTGAACATTCCTTATCCCCTACCCAACCCATCGATCAGAAAGACTTGGATAATCATGAAATTGCCAAAACACATTTCGTTTTATTTCATTTCATTCAACGTAAACCGGCAATTATCTATATACGTGGTATTTTAAACCAATTTAAGATGTGAGAGCATCTGACTGAAAGCAGGCAAAACCAATGACCGAAACCACCTCAGATCAAATAGAATACCCCTTCTATCCAAATTCAGACCATTAAACGAACGTAATCACTTCATCAACAACACCGAAAGTCGGATGTGAACCAAATCGGATTTTGAACCACACTCAGGATCAAATCGATTTTAGTATCTTGACCGAACTAAGACAAATATAATATGATGAATTTCACCGTTTTAAGAGCAAATGAAACGTGAACTGAAAAGATACGATGGACTAGACAGTTAGTTGGAACTGGTTATGCTATACTTGACTTGTCGAAAGAAAATGAAAACCAGTCTGATAATCTCCCTGGTGGCCCAGTGGCTAGTAATGCTTGCGTTCTGCATGTGGGAGCCCGGGTTCAACCCCTCAGTTATTTCGATGGATTCGCACTGCTGACGAAACACACCAGATTTAAACAGCTCCTCAGTGCTGTCTAGATTTTCAATTCATGTTAAATCTACTCTTTACACGAAGAAATTCACCAAATGAACAAACCAAAGCTTTCATTTCTCTCAAGTAACAAATGCAATGATTTCAAAAATCTTAGAATAACCCCGGAACACTGCACAGTTTCAAAGTACAATACACAGTTATACTATCAGACTGTGAGGGTAATACTGGACAAAACTAGGTAGCCGCTGGTACATATTGATCACACCTAAGAAGTTTGTGTGATTACCCCGAACGTGAGAATGCAGATCACGTGCGTACAATACGCGACACACCGACAACAGCACAGAAGTACATTCACACATACAAAAACGAACAGTGCATACATTTTTGTATAAAATCATCTCAGATTAGTTAAAACAACAGCAACAAAAGAACAGCAAATGAAAAAACCACGTGTATAAGAAGTGCGAGAGAAGACAGAACACGGTGTTGGGCTCGTATCAGATCAGGGGTTGATTCCACCAGGGACAGTTATCCAGGAAACATTCAGGTTTTAGCCTGACCTAACACCTTTCCCCATGGATCGATAAAGTAAGTTTCTGTAAGATAACAACGAAGACCAGCACACATAGGTGACATAAATAGAGAACTGGATCAACGCTGCTCAAGAAGAGTAAATCGAATAAGCCCGATACCCTTATTAGACGAAGAGTAACCTTTCGCACAAATGTGTTCAGAATTTTCCATCGGGACCATTCCACTCAAAATAGTGTAGCACCAAGCTTCTGCTAAGCATTGGTGTGAGAAAAACAACACTAAACAGTCACGGCAGAGATCGTGAAGATAACAGAAACGTTGAACCCTGAATACCGACAGCTTTTATTTTACATCAAGTACCAATGCATCCGAATTTAGGGCACAATTACTTGTCAGCAGTGGTGTTAGATAAACGATATTGGTTTGGATTGATCATCCTTCCGATTTCATCTAAACACAATTTTCAATTCATTCAGTCAATCGGGATGAACCATACTTGAGTTTTTTTCTCATGAAACCTACCAGAGGTTCATATCCACAGTTCCATCTAAATTGTGAATTCTAAACACATCGCATGGGAGGTGTATGTATAACCGCTGTGCCAACAAGCTTATATCGGGGCTCAGATGTCGTTTTCATAGGTAATCAGTCATTTGTTCTGGCGCAACAGCAATGAAGGACGATACAGTAAATCATCCGTCAACTCTAATCGATAGCCTCCCACCAAATTAGGTGGTCCTCACAGTGTTGGGTATACTATCCCAATTAAACCTGTTAGGCTGGATGTTAACTAGTATTTGACTCACAGGTACTTGAGAAAAAAGTGCGAGAAGATGAAGTCTGAAGGATGGTCAGTCCAAATCAGAGTACCACTATGTGTCGAGAGATACACAAAACTATTCTAGGCAGAACTCATAACCCAATGGATACAATCGAGAGCAGATTGTAAAGTGATCCAGTTCTGAAGCGTGAAGCGATAAACGTTTATGTGATGTAGAAGTGATACGGAAGAAAATGTTCAGAAGGGAGAACTTTGTAGTTGATGACTGCTACGGAGAATCAATAAAAGCGAACGCAGGGTGCACTGTCGGGGTGGGAACACAAGATACGAGAGAATGAGATAACCACTTACACTATCCAACCTACACTGACGCGTGATTCATGTGAAGTGCAATAAGAAGTAATATTGTACAATAACAATTTTCAACAAAAAGTCATGGCATTTTAGCCGAATATCGTAATCTAAACAAAACTGGTGAATTTTAGATCAGGTACTGAATCAATCCATCACCAGGGTTTTAAAAAAGCCAAAATAAATAGAGCAGACATATCGAACACTGAAATCCCGCATTTTCTGATTTCCTAATATTCATGTGTATAATACACTCCACTCGTTGTATTCACCTACTAACTGATTCATTGTTGGTTGAATCCCCATACTCGACAAGCGTTTGCGCCACCTGAACAAACTCGCCAGGACAGGTCGTCGAAATTAGAAGCTCATAATTTCTGACTACTTATGTGATGTTTTGTGCACAGGCAAATCACATGACCGTATTGCAACCTGAATTCAGGTGGGATGTGGCATTTTCAAATACAGATCACGATCGATAACTGTCTGTATCAATCGGACGAACAAAAACGGAAAGTAGCTCGTGATCCGACACAGAACGTTATCAGAATGATGACCGATTCGGATCTTATGGGGAACACTGATCTGTTTCGGATTGCTCTATACACAATAGGAGAACCACAAAGAAAAGCAAAACTTCGATCAAGCGAATGAAAATCTGTATTCGATTAGAGAGAGAGTTGTTGCGCGAGATGAGTGTGTGCGTGCTAAAAAGACAAGGTCAATGCTACTCTAACTGAGGTGAAGTCCGGATAGTTAGGTGTGCATAGAAGGAGTAACAGCAAAATCTAGGGCGGGACGTGGGCAGGACATATGAACAGACGGCCAATCAATCAGTTATTCAATCAATCAATCAATCAACTAACAAAACAAAACACGTGAGTGGTTCACCTCAAAACGTCGAGTGTTAAGGGAGAGTGAAGTACACAAAAAGAATCCTTGCAGAATTTGACGTCAAACTGATTTTATACGGTGGTTCAATAAACTTAGCAAAATAATCGCATAGAAATAAAGTAGTTGGACAAGAGAACGGTGGGGTAGGATAGATTTAACTAAATTCTGGACCTAAGAGATATACTATCTGATAGGTAAAAAGACTATATTTTACCTAAAACTGAGTATTTTTCGAGTATCTGCAATTCGGAGCATCTCTAATCAATACCAACCTCGTGAGTAATAATCAATCATATCGCGTCATACGGAGACATTCACTCCGTCCATCCGATCCGTGACTTATGATCGATCGAACTTTGCTAACTGTGTACTTGATTGGCATAATCTTTTTCTTGCATTAATCGATGCTATTTTGGGTCACATGTAAGCATCAAAGTGAAACTTGTAAATTGACTTGCTTCCTGTGTGTCAAGTACACGTCCGCTGTGCACTAACTGTGTTCTTGCTTACGCAGCTGGGAGAAGGCTACTAGTGTTCGTGGCGTCCAATCTAGCTGTGATCGTACCTCGTGAGGCTAGACGATTAGTGTGGCCGTTGAGGGACGTGTGTTCCTCGTGTGTCATCGTGTGGTATCTTGTTGTGTGTACATTGTGACCAAACGAGATCCGGACACAACATTATCCGACATGTAAGAAACCGTTAACACACGGGAAACTTAACAGAAATAAAAACGGAAAACAAGTGTGTGAGAAAGAACACTGATGAAAACACTACAATCAGCTGGCTCTGCCGCAACTACGTAGTCAAACAGCAGTCACTAGAACAAACAGCGCCAAACAGTTACACGTCAAAGTATAGCAAAATAATCCCGGTCAGCTGTTAACGATGACGCGCACGGTGCAGATCAACCCATTGTTTGATGTGAATGAGCAAAACTCGGTAAAATTTGCAGTCCCGTCGCCAATGTTGTACTCCCTAGGTCAAAGTAAGCCGATTCAGTATTTTTTAGATTGCTATGAGTGTCAGATGCGGGTGTCATAAGACGGTTTAACTGCGCTATCCACCAATGGTCGATAATTAGGAACACCCTGAATGAGTGTGAAATCTTTGGCCCCGTGAAACGCACGGAAAAAAGCGAAAAATATCTTTGCAGTCACAAGACAGACATTTACAACTCCAACACTTGAGATAACTTCCCCATTTTAATTCTTTTTATTTAATAGTCAATTTACAATTGATTTTCTTGGGGCAGCCGGCTTCCGATCAACGGATTGCCGTAAAATACAAAGGAGTACGGAATTCGGGTGGTGGTGGTGTGAATTGAACACCTGCACTTTGAGGCGAGGCGATGCCGATCCACACAGTCAGGCTTTCGGTGCCGTTCCAGTAGTGATACCTAANCGAACTATTACTTGCCGGTGAGAAACCATTAAAATAGCTTCTAGCCGTTTGAATTTCAAATTATTGATTGCTTCGTATACAATGAAAGCAGATGAAAATTCGCCATTCCGTTTCTCTCAAATTTAAGGTGATAAACAAAACGACAAAATGAAGCGCGTAATGTACCGTAAGTTATTTTTATTGTAAGCTGTGATAAGATTAGAACCCCGATGGTATTCGGTGATTATAGGACGATGTCAGTTTCTGGCGAGGATGAGAGAGTTTCCGGTCTAGTCTGCAGTCTACAAAAGGGACAGTTCATTAGCATTTCGATCCATAGATCTTGTACGTAAGTACTATCGGCGGTAGCTAAATCCCCTCTTGTTCATGTGCACTGTTTGTCTTCGCTTGATAGCAATCAGATTCCAGAAAAAAGGATTTAAACTGTGCTGTGCGTTGAATAAAGAGAAAACGGATCGAGCATACTTAAAAACGATTGTGAAGATAAACTGCAGATTTCATTACACAGAACGTTAGATTTATTTACTGGTTATAACCAGTCAAACTCTACTCACAACACTGAACGGTTTTAGGTAAATGTAATTCAACTCAATAATGCGCGTTGTGCTCAACAAATGATAAAAACCACTACGATCGATCACCGCTCGCCCAATAGCCTTGAGAACAGCTTACACTATTCTTCACAAAATCAGAAACGGAGAAATGAACAATTTGCAATGGTCATCGATCAGATAGCTGGTTTTAGGCTGCTTAACATTTCACATCTGATTAAACTCACATCAGTCACTGGTGTGTGGTTGAAACCGGTGAACAATGTCTAGCCCAGGTACACGTACTATATAGTGATTTATCACTGTTTCACTCAAATTCAATCATAAAATGACATCTTTGGCGCCAGCTGCTCAATGAAGTGGAGGCAACTGTAGTTATTGTTTTACAATACCATGATCAAATAAATCATTTTCCTTTTAATCCGACGCAAACTTTGTCGGGGCTGTTGTTTCTGGAGTTAATAATTACTGAGTGCAAATCGCAATTACAACGTGATTATTCAGTGCGCGGGTCGTCCGACAGAATTGCTGTCTATGTCCGATTTTCACTCAGATGTGCTTACTGGGGAAAGGGAAGGTTTTACACATGCCAGGGGAATGAGTTATTTCGATGTGACATTTTCTTAGTCGGGCAGTGGTTGAAAGAAGACCAAGATCGGATTGAAACCTAGCGTAAATATATAGATGCTTTTACCAATGAAGTTGATTATCTGCAGCGTGTTGGGTCTCCAGGCTATGTTTCCTGTGATTAGTATAACAGAGGAGTTGGAAAATTAGGTGAAATGGTGAACCGTCGTCGACAGTGACACAGTCTGTTTATCACACACCTTAATGTGATAATCGGTAGGGTGGGTGTTTCCAACGATTGCGGGAGCTTACGGCTCAGCTATGAAAATTGGTTACCTAAAACCTGTAAGCCGGAGTCAGCGAATCGCATCAAATCTCGCCTGCTTCGCTGTCCTCCTGGCACGATCCCAAGGGAGTTTTATCTGATAGGCCATTTCAAACTTTAGGGATAGAAGTGACTGTGATTATGAGCGAACAATAGGTTCCCGTGACTATCGGGTCCTCGTCTTCATGTACTAATTGCACAACGGTTTAGAAAAACATAAAGGAGGAAACATCCTGGCATCCTTCAGGCATGAAATCAATGCCGTATTAATTGGAATTTCTCGTCAAATTGAAGCACTTATCTGTCTTAAACAAGCCGCATATCTGTCAGTGACTTGCAATACTGCATCTGCGTTTAGTAAAATCCCCGACTCAAAAGCCATCTTATAGAGACACTGAGTGATACGCCTGTGTCATAAACATGGTTTCTTTGTAACGTTAGTTTACCGGAACTCTCCATTTTCTCTTTTCTGTCCAATCATTCTTCTACCCCATCATCCAAACAAGCAACCAAAAGACAGCAACTAAGACCGCCACATCAAAGTGCATCGTAAATGTTTGTTCAAACTGAAACTGAAAGTCATATTAATGACAACGTTTGGATGTAAGTAGTTTCGTGACATTACTTGTCGTTGTTTTTCTACGGCTTTTGGGGATTGGAGTGCACCCTATTCTTTTATGCTTCCGTTGGTGAAAACCGAATAGTTTGCGATCGGATTGGTATCCGGGGAGAAGGCTGTTCAAAGGTGGAGGGGCAATTCCTCTGTGTAGTTTGTACGCATGCGCAACCTGAGACCGACGAGGGGGTCTGGCATTCGAACTGTGCTCATTTAAGCCACTGGTGAAGGTCCTATCTAAGTGGTGACTGGTCCTTGTCGTTCTCAACAGAAGCCAGTTCCTTTTGTCAATGGTTACTATCATCGGCCAGTATCGTACCTGCGTTTATGATCGGCGATAATTCTAGTGCATCACAGTCTGCACATCCGTATTAGGGGCCTTGCAATCGAACACTTTGACTTCGCAGATCTCAGTATTTCTATGCACCAAGAGAATTGATCAGCACCGGTCATATTTTGGATTATTTTTTCATCCGTGCAACTGGAGGATTAAGTAACGTTACCGTTGAATAAATTTTTGCTTCAAATTGGCATTCTACATGCACAAATTCCGCATGATTGTCTCGTTGTCAATTTTCCTAATTTGTCTGTGTTGTTGATTTCATCCTCAAATGGATATCTGCTCCCAACGCCATTTGCACATATGCACGCACCGGCAGCATCTTGGCCTCGCTACGCTGCCCTCTATGTTGGTCTCACTTATCTCGTCGATCCGTGCCAACGATCGACTAACCTATGTGCACCTATGTACACACACACACAAGTGTACCGCACTGTAATACCATAGCGGACCCTAATGACCACCATTCACATCCACTGTATTCTGGTTGGTCCCCCCGCCCCAGGTCACTTCCCAGCACTGACTACCACAGACGCATGTAATCCTGTTTGACATTATTTGGTGCATTCTTTCCACTGTCATTGCGCTGACCACCTGCTTGCTTTTTTATTTTTACTTCCTTTTATTGAATACATACATAATACAATTTTCAGGAAGGGGAAGCGATCAATTAAAGAGCTGCCATACAACAAACGGTGGGGAAAGTTAGGCGGTGATGGTGGGATACGAACACGTCATCCGGGGTGATAATTTGGTGACATTAACATAGGACCACCACCGCCAGTTCTTATTTGTTGAATTACTGGCTTCACAGATACCGGATAGTGCCACAGTTTAAGATTAACGCGTTTTTCATTACTGTAATCTGTACTCCCGTGCCGCTTTTGTGGATAAACCCATTTGTTGAAAGACACCGTCTTCCGAGTTTTTTTCGCGTCACTCTATGTGGATCGTTGTAGCCTGTGAATTCGACAGTTACTTATGGTTCCGATCGCCGGTTGATCGATAAGATGGCTGTTACCCAACTCATGTGAGTGTCCTCGGCCGTTCGCGTGATTGGATCAATCAAAATTCACCAGGTCTCACCCCACTGTCTCAAATCGTCCACCAAAAAGTGCCAACCTATACATGGAAGTGGGGAAACCGTTTGTCCTTATGTCTGGATAATGCTGGTTTGAGTGACAACAAAGCTGTTTACTCACTTTCTTCTAATATTCATAACCGTCTATGGGTTTGTCTTTGTGATATTCCCACTTTTGTCTACTCGATATCTCTTTCATCAGATGAACAGCTGGGTTGTCAAAAGAACGCAACATGAAAAGACAGCGTCTAAGAACTGGAAACAATTGAAACTGAACTGATACACACGGTTGTAAGCCAAATAGGACATCAAGTAGGGGTGGCAGTGCGGGGAACAACACAATACACTACATGAATAGGCAACGAGTAAATTTTCATCATCAAGGTCAGCGACGAATAAGAGGGCAGTTTGTTAAAAGGGTTGATTGATGTAAAGCAACGAATCACGATCATCACAGCCACGTGCTCTTGCGGGAGTCATGGAACATGTGTGAGAGAGAGCATGTGAAATGACAGGTGCATGCAAATCAATGACACGAGGGAGGCAGGGAATGAATGGACTAACCCGAATGTGAGGATCTGCAAGCAAATCGTAGAGTTCATGCGCCTCCGGTTCATCAGATTCACGAGTTTGCATGACAAACTGCTCCAAATCGACCCATAAGTCAGATAGCGCTTTGAGGCTGTCCCGCTCACGGCCATCCGGTGGACGAACTTCACGGGTCAGCGGCTGTTGGCTGGCACCAGATGTCGTCGTATCTATTAGCTATCGCAAAGCGGAGAACAGGAGAGAGGCGCGGGGGGAGGGCAAAAAGTGAAGAAAACAAAAATGAAATAGCGGATATTATGTTTAACCAACTGAAAATGGATAAAATGCAACGGATAGGGATACAACACCATGTGGAGAAACAAGTAAGCTAGAGACTGAAGAGATTAAAATAATAAGCTGCCTGTAACTGTTCGTTCTGTTATATTGATTTGAAGTGGTCATGAAAAGATCACAGTTAACGAAACGATGATTCGATTTGCTTGATTCCGTCTATTGAGTACACAATTACTAGATACAGAGTCCATTTCTCAGTTCTGATATGACGGTAGAATTTTTAGCACCAGAACATGAGCTTGAGATTATATTTCAAAAACAGTTAAAAGTTTGAATAGTCCCACAATAACAATGAGAAAACAAAGCGGTTCGAACAATTGTTATTTACATACCCACACAAACCATATAGTGCATTATTGCGTACACAATGCTAGCCATTTTTTAAATTGCATACCCGCACGAGAACCTACTATTCACGTAATGGAACCGGTAAGCTAAGCCCCCAGGACGTAGATGACGAACCACATAGGGCAACCACTAACGTGAGTGTGTGGTATTGTTATCAGGTCGGATTATGGTGATTAGTCTGGAGCAGAAGGATCGATGCTGATACGTGTATGTGGATGAGCGGTTCGTTCGTCAGTTTGATGTGACCTTGCTCCAGTCGGGTCAGTTGGACACGTTCTGTTCTGTCAAGGTCATCACACGACAAAGTTGAAGCGCGTGGACAAGGTTTTGGAACCTGATCTGATTTTTATGGAATACTTTATGCCCAAGAAGTTTCCCAATGCCGCATTTCTCCAAGCAGTCCTTGTATGGCCGTGGCCCCCTTCCTAAATGCTGTTTGTGCATTCGTATGTTCAATTCCTGTGGTGGTCTTTTCTTACCACGGGCAAACGAAGAAGAGTCGACATCCGGGGCTATAATCTGGTTGGTAAACAACAGTTCAGCTAGGAGAGGTGGCTAAATACCCTCATTCCAAACCAACCAAGAAGAAGCGAACCAATCACACCTACCCACCTACACCGGCTCAATTGGGGATCGAGGTGTACTGAGTATCTTGAACATTTGATCCCATCCAACGGGCATATGATCCGTTTAACGGCACATCACCCTGCTGCCTTGCGAGTAAGGCTTTGGCAAATCAAGGGCTCCGGTTGTGAATTTCATGAGAAAATTTACATGCCTTGGTTTGGGCAACCTGGCGGTATCGCGCCTACAAGCGAATAATGGAACTCCCTTTTTATGAAGATTATTGCACTGTGATTTGTTCGACACAGTCTGGGCTAGAAGGGGACAAAATTTAATTTTTATACTACCGCATGCAGTTAAATTGTTCACCGTGAAACCCCAAGAACCAATATGCTATGATCATAATCCAAATTTGTGAAACCACATTAGTTTTAAAACGGAATAAGGTACTTGGCCCACAGGAATGCCGTCTATCACTAAGGTCAAACTGATGCTTGTACAGTTCGCGTTCGCATTCAAGACCTCAATTTGATAGCAAAACAAACCAGCTGATCAGCGCCGCCAAGGCTGAACAGAGATTTTTCACTTGTTCTGACGGTTTCACCTGAAAACGCTCTTGAAGCTGATCAAAAATTTTATCCCAAGTAGCGATCGGTGCAACAAAATTGGGTCATTTAATAAAAAAGCAGAAATGAGAGACGACAGTAGTAATCTTCAAGGTTTCCTATGACATCAAATCAGTCTCGGTTAACCTTGAAATGATCACCTACCTCGGAGTAGAAATCTTGGACAGATCACATGAATTTACCCGGATACTCGCATTGATCTAGATTGTGGTAAGTTGGTTTTCTTCCACTTTCTATTCATGCGCACCACAGTATTAGGTATGGTTTGTAACAAACGATCCACACGTACTTAAACGAGATGAATGAATCGTAAAAAAGAAAACTTTACGATGTAGTAGAATTAAGTCAATCGACCCAATCTTCTGAAAAGCAGTATTAATTTGCTTGTTTTTGAGCTTCATGCACCAAACACTAAGTGAACGAAAATTTGAAACAAAATATCTATGAAAAAAGAAGCCGTTCCTCTTTTCTCTTCTGCTTAGTCCTTCTCACATTCTGTCATCCCCAAGACCGCTAAGTGGATAACATGACGACACGACGAAATTGCACCGCAGCAGATCAGCCAAACAGTTAGACAACGGAGATCGTCTACTTCAACTCTGCACGGACCACGAACTGCTTTTATCAGTCAAAAGCTTCTCTCATAAAAAACTACACCGCCTTATACGGAAACCGGCAAACTCTTCATAGCGATGGACTCAAATTGACCACAGCGCCATCAGCCACCGATGACGAGGATCCATTGAAGACTGCCGCTCCTACTGATCAACACTGATCATGCTCTGCTAAGAGTCAAACTCCCCGAACGCCTAGTAGACAACAGCCAGTGCTGCAACACGGTGCAGAGATTTGACCATTACGGGAAAAGATAGAAATAGATTGTCGGTGTTCGAACACCGCTGTCTACGCCGCATCGCATAAGTCTGATGGACAAGCAATGCTGGAGTTGGGTGCAGAGGTTTAGGTAACCATGGTCGTCCACTTGAGCAAGTGGTCGAACTACATAGACTGCCTTGGTTAGGGGCATGTTGCGCATGCCATCAAATAGGCATCCACGACGAGCGATGTTTGCCGAGGCAGGTAGTGCATGGAAAAAGGTTAAAGGCCGTCAAACTAAGACCTGGCGTGAGAGTATGAAAACTCTAACCACGAGAGTAGGTCACATAGGTCCATTTAGGCTGCACAGTATCAGTGGTTAGAGACACTGAGTGATATAACTGAGTGTCGCAAACAGTGGTGCTCGTGCACCTAGTCATTATTCTTGCAAACCCAGTCCGTATGAATTTTCAATCTTCCTTTTGACTCTGCTTTCATCATTCCAATATTTATTCTGCTGTTTTATCCAAATAGGCAGCCAAAATACGGCAACTATAAACGGCGCACGAAAGTGCATGTTTATTGGCTGTACAAACTGAACTTGAACTGAACAACAAAACAGAGACAGAGTTAAAAAATCACGATGTAGGACAGAATTGGGGACGAGATCGAGGATGCATGTGACGTGATACAGTGAAACTTTCCCATCTCTCTGCATTCTGGCCACTGTCACTTGAACGCAATAATCCTTTCGTGCCCAAAATAATGTGCACTTCGGTGTCCGGAATCGGATAGACAATCAGCTGATCGAGTAGCCAAGTAAACAAATCAGAGCAAGTACGATGCCATAAAAAATGATCGCATCATGCGAGCAGAGTGTGACGCAGAAAAGAAAACGTCATGCTCAAAAGAGGCAATTGTAACTTCTTTCTAAGTGAATTGGTAGCTTCAATGTATTTCAACGGAATAGTGTTTCCCGCCATTAACCTGGCGAAGAAGTGACAATCCTAATGATAAAAATCACACGAACACAACAGACAAAATGATAAACAATGAAGTAAGGTTCACACTACAGTTGTGATATGAGTGACGAGAGTGAAGATGGAAACACGTCATTTGTATATCATTTAGAATTCATATTCGAAAACCAAACTCAATGGAAATCGACCACGTGATGGAAAATATCCATCAACAACTACTGAGGTTGTGAGAATCACAAAAAATTGATTTCCCGCACAATCGGATGTATATGAAAGATCGGTGCCTTCGCGAGATATACTCCAGATACCGGCAGCCATGCCGGTCTCTATCTTAGAAATCTGTTATCAAAGTTGTGTTCCCGCGCAGTTGGTAAAAACAATTGTAACAATGTTCGACGATATCAAGTTGAAGATATTTCTACTTGTCGGGAACAACAGGAGCATTTGCACGTATAAACGAATAGCAAAAACAACAAGGATTGTGTGCTACGGTTGACTGGGATGGTACTTTTAAAATGGATGTCTGACTCCAATTCAACCTTGGGTAACGACATTGATTGAACGAACACGAATACAGCAAGTCATTTTAGTGATCGAATACTCTTTGACAAACCGCCATTCTCGGTGCTTAACTAGTTTGGTAGAGCTCAAAACGTAATCCCCAGCCCAAAAATTTCTACTGATCCATTACCTCAAGACATCGCTTCAGCTGCATATTTCCGAGGAAAGCGCGAAGAAAGACAATATCCGAATCACAAAGTTGATTTTTCTTGTTTTGACTGTGACGCAGAAGTCGTCTAATAAGGTCCTCGTCAGTGATTCCTTGGCTAACTAGTTGCCAAGCGTCTTTGTGAGGAGAGAGATGGGAGAAAAGAAAAATAACATGCACAACCTGTTAGTTACAGGCTCTTACCAAACATTCCCATTTCGGTAGAATAGAATTTTGCAATGCAAGACATCTGAGAAACTCGCAGCATAGTTCACTAAGATCCGGAGAAAAGGAAGACAGTTTATCATAAATAACTGGTTATCCATCTTGTTGCCATGCCCTTTGATATATTCCGAACAAATACGAGACTTGAGACACGACCAAGAATGTCCAGGTAATACAATACATGAGCAATTATTTGTGACATTCTCACCATACACCAAGGCTGCTATGTGGTAGAAACGCATACAGCAAGAATTAAAAAAACGTAATACTAATTAACTCAGAGTAATTTTTGTGTGAAATTCATCAACTCTAGGTTGACAATTGTCCCGGACTAAAAGCAAAACGAACTGCTGACGATTCGAAATGACATCTCTCGAGTAAAAAAAAAACTTGTCAGACATCTCGACCAAGGACTAAACGCGAAGACTGCTCACAGTAATTGTAATGAACGGTGACGAAGTCAGAAAAACGCCGATGATCGACGAGTGTTTGGTGAAATAACGCCATTTACAAGTCTGTGGTTGGGGTTGCTGGTTCACAGCGAAAGCTACGGGGAAATCATGACAGTGAGATTGACGTGAAAGAGCGCGCACGTGGGATGTCCGTGATTTGTGACAAGTCGCACTCTCTCTAATTGATGTGCAACGTCACGAGCGGACATACACGCAGGAAAGTATTAGCGTTTGCATTCTTATCGGCTGGGGGATACGTTATAGGGAAAGTAATCAGTTCGCCTTTATTCAGTGCGTACACCAGTCTCATTGCTGCATTCTGTTGCGGTACATAAATGAGAATCGACAGACACGATTTTTAAGCGTCCGGGCGCATGCTTGCATTTGGGAGTGATCTAGCGATACGGATGATACAAGCAAACCGTTAACCGTTCGTAGATAAACAAAAAACATATTGCGTCCACATAATCAAATATATCGAAACCTGCGGAAGTAAAACAGTGTGAACATATAGCCGTGCACGTTTCCAACCATATATGGTGAATGGAACATCATACAGTGGAACTGTGATTCATTCACTTGATGCGTGAGAAAAGCGATCAGAAAGATGAATGTCAAAGTGATACTAAATGCACGGTGAAGAGCAAAAGCTCCATCCGTTGATAGGTTCGATGCTAGCGATTCCTTTTCACTCATTCAATAGCGTCGAATGCAATTCCTGTACACACACGCAAATGGAAAGGATAGGGATTCGGAGAAATCGGAACCCTGAGATGAGACGGTTGAAGGTTGCGGAAACTATAAAAATCGATGACATTCAGCAAGAAGAACTGTTTATATGTTTTTTCTCATATTTATGACCAAGTGGTGTGATCTGTACAAAAACGCAATCAACCGCCTGTTCTGATGCCCAGGACAGGATGTAAATAAATTTACCGGGATACGGAGGCAATCTTTGCACAACCAGGGTGATGAGCTCTAGCACCAAAGTGTAAGTTGGTCAGTCTATAGTGGTGGACAAAACAGTGAGCCAATAATCGATTTGTTGGTAATCAAAGCTGAAGTGACACCGGACAGTGTCTCCAGTGGCACAGAATCGTTTTGGTCAACAAACACACAGACGCACACCACACGGGACAAAAAGCGCGGCAACTTGAATTTGGCACATCGATCCTGGTAATCCGGCACACAGCCTTATTATGTCGTAGGTTCTAACACATTGCCAATTCGGAGGCATCTAATAGTAGTGCAAACTAACCGTTAGGTGTAAGGCCAAAATAAATTAAAAACAAATTGTGATCTTGCATTCAGTGGAGCAGCATTTTGATGTAGGGCTTCATTCATTGCCACCTTGTACCACCAAGGAGAGAGAGAAAGAAGAGATGGAAAGAAAGGAGGGGAGGTTGAAAAACAAGTGCTGCAGCACGACGTAAACGCACAGCTCCAATCAGTTCATAATGTGATTAAGTACGTTTGCCGGACCGAATCGCAGTCGGGGTGCAGGAGACGGGGTCTGCGCCGCTTTCTAGCACGATTCTTGGCTTATATACTGAAAAATAGCACAACTGGGATACGCATAAAACTTCTTTTTCATTCTCCGATTTCGGTTGCTATGTTTCCCTCACTCGATCGGTCAATGAACGAAGAAGAAACGAGTGGAGATAACTGATAAGATCAGAGTGGCACCAAAATCCACAAACGGGAAGTCTAAGCGTGCAAAGAAAGTCAACAGCTGTGCGAATGCCACTCCCGTCGGAATTGAGTTGATAGTGAATCCTTCGCAAAGGAACGCCGCAGTATGATGTGAACATATTGAGTTCACTCCACTCACATACCTCTGGTAGCGTAAGGGTCTACGGCAGGCTGAGTAAGTAGTTCTTAACTAACAGTAGTGTTCGTCAAGGGCGCCCTCTTTCGCCATTCCTGTTCAATTTCCTTCATAGACGAAATACTGGGGAATACACTAAATGGTCTCCAAAATGTAGGTATTGAATGGGCAGCTGGAGAAAAGCTGTGCGATTTGGAGTACGCTGACGACATCGTTTGCTTGTTTGAATGTGTGGATGATGCACAAAAAGCAATTGACAAATTAACAAGTTCTGTCGCTCCGTTCGGTATGTACCTTGCACTTTCAACGTGCGAAGTGATGCTACAAGACTGGGTGTCGCCCAGTTCTGTTCTGAAACTAGACGGTCAGAAATTAGCTGAAGTTGACTGCTTCTCGTACTTAGGTAGTTGCGTGACCAACGACAGTGGCGTATCGAAGGAGATAACAGCCCGCATTTCCAAGGCTCGAGCAGCGTACGCAGGACTAAAACACCTATGGCGGCGACGTGACATGTCACTACGGTTGAAAAGTCGCGTATACTGCGCCGCCGTACGATCAATTCTACATTACGGTTGTGAGACTTTGAATTTGCGGATAGAAGACACCCGTTGTTTAGCAGTGTTCGACAATCGATGCTTATGTAGTCTGGTGCAGGTTGGATGGAATGAGTCGGTTAGTAACTTAGAAGTAAGTCGTCGGGTGTTTGGGAGTACATCAAGCAAGAACTCGCTATCTCATCGAATCCAGCTCAGTAGGCGCCGTTGGTTAGGACACGTGTTGCGTATGTCCGACGGTCGCCTACCACAGCGCGCCTTGTTTTCAGTGGCTGTTGCAGGCTGGAGAAAGCCACGTAGAGGCCAGCAGATGACGTGGAGACGAAGCATGAAGAAATACACAGCGTGATTAGGTAGAGTAGGTGTCTCTCGTCTTCCGAGTTGGAGTCCAAAAGACTACGTAACCGCATGGCTGGAGACACTGAGGGTCATGCGAACCGACAACAATCCTGATCTTGTTGTCATTTCTTATCAGACCAGAATGCTTGACATAGTATGTATGCGCAGTTGGACTGTGTACTCAGAGTGTTGATCATAGAGGTTCGCTTTCTTTTCCCGTCCCTAAAAATAGGTCCAGTGCTTGTCCTCCTTATACATTCTCTCTTTTATCTTGTATGCATTATGAGTTTGGCAGCGATCAGTGAAGTTCGCTTCACTGTATTACGCTGCGCAGTGATGAATGATGACTGCCTCAACACCACGTGTCTTTCGGCTTTCCATAAGTCGAAGCGTTTAGAAGGAGTTCGCTATCAAAATTTCCATAAGGAAGAAGATTGGTAACCTAGATGGGCGACGAAAGAAGTTAGGTTGTTAAGCTCCACGGTTTATGACTGTCAGTCATATNTTCTTTTCCCGTCCCTAAAAATAGGTCCAGTGCTTGTCCTCCTTATACATTCTCTCTTTTATCTTGTATGCATTATGAGTTTGGCAGCGATCAGTGAAGTTCGCTTCAGTGTATTACGCTGCACAGTGATGATGAATGACCACCCTACCACACCCCCTGGTCATTTTATTATGCGAAAGAAATCCAGGATGGAATATGATGCGTTTAGATAACATAAAATAGGGGTGAAAGTCCATCTGCGAAAAACATTTAAATTAATCGTATCAACGACTGAACAAAACCTTTGGAGTAGATACCATTTCAGGGTACTGTAAATAGCATTAATTGCTTTGCGACAAAATATGAACACGATTTACAGCGGATCGAAAATTTGACAAAAAATATTGGTATATCCGCTTGTCGTAGGCCTTTGGAAACGTAGGAAACACTCCCGGTTTCGCTTATGACTCCGGTGTATCCAAAACTAAAAGGTATTTAGAATGTGAGGATTGAACGAGCTCTCAGTGAGTGAAATCTACACAAGAATGAAACAGATAGTAGACTCTATCCGTTCGTATGGACCAAACTATTTGACGACGTTGTTCAGTTTTTGATTGCGACAAGAACGCGTCAGTGAAGCTTTAAAACGCAAAAAGAAACAAAATCCAAAATGTCAAATCGAAGGATCGTCCTTGGTAAGCTATACACTCGGGCGACATCATTGTTGTTCAACAGCACAGCATTTCAAGAATCACAGTGCTCGAGTGAACTCATACTGAGCACTTTGAAAACTCAAGTGCTCGGGCAAGTTGATGCCGATCGCCCCTAGTCTCTTGCTTCATGCGTATACAGCAGCTGATCACGATGACCAAGTACGCTCCATGTTGTCATTGTTGTTGCGGTTGTGAACAAATTTCCGATGAGAAGGAAGAGGTGCGACGCTATGCGAATCGTAGTTGACTGGAGCATAGATCTCTACCAAACGACGGATATTTGAGTCAAGTGCTACCAAGTACATCTTGGGATCACATGCACTAAGAAAGCTAGTACGTTGAACGTACGTTGCGTCGTTAACTACACAGAGAACGACTGCAAAAGACGTTGTAAGACGTGGTGAGTTTGGCATAGAAAACAGGCGTCTGGCAACACGAATTATCACAAACCTCGGATGTGTTTTCTATTTAATCAGGGTTCTATTACCATTCAATTGATCGATAGGCATAAAATAAGCTGCGCTAGGAATGCATACTTAAAGCTAAGTCGAACGAAATAGTGAATATCATTCGGTACGAAATACCTAAGATCCACTGTGAATCTCTTTCGATGAGATTTTAA